GAGGCCGCGCGCTTGCGCGGCGTAGCCCCGGCATAGCCCCGGGCTGCCCGTGTTGGCCGCGCCATTGTTGGGGGAGGGGGGGACTGCTGAGCGCGGCAGAGTCGGTGGGCGAGCGGAGGCGGCGACGGCGGCCAAGAGTGGAAGCACTCCATGGGGAACACGCTGACCTGTTGCGTGTCCCCCAATGCCAGCCCCAAGCTGGGCCGACGCTCGGGGTCGGCGGAGCCGGACTACGAGTCTGAGGTCTATGAGGCAGCGGCCGGGGACGCTGTGGCAGTAGCGCCGGCGCCTGCTGCCCCGGAGCCCGCCGATTTGGATTTCGGAGCCGGCGAGGGCCACCACCTGCAGCACATCAGCGACCGGGAGATGCCCGAAGGTAAGGAGGCAGCGAGCGCCGTCCGCCTCTCGGCTGTACCTGGCCGCTGCCGCCCCCAGGGTCCCCTGGGAGGGAGGCGCCGCCTCGGGCTCCTTCCTGCCCGGAGCCGGCTTTTCCAGGGCTGGGCACCGGGGACGTAGGCTGGCGCTGCCTGGCGTCCCCACCCCTTATTCTTTCCCCATCGCGTCCGGCCAGTTTCTGTCCCTCTTCACTGCACGAACGCCCAGATTTTTTTCATTTCCCAGCCCAGCCAGAGACCCCAGTCCTCGGCCCTTCCTGTTTATGGCTCTATTTAACGTTTTGTGGGACTTTATACAGACTTTTGGGTACATTCTCTCTCTTTTCTCAATGGAAACTTTAATACCCCAACTTCGGAGTATCCATCCCATCTCTGTCCTTACCTCTGTAAGTGACCTTCCTTGTTCCTATCCGTTAAGGTAGTTGATACTCGGGATAATTCAGACGCAAACGTTTCAGGGTTATTTAAATTCAAAACAAATTGACATAGGAGAGTCTATTTGGTGGTTTTAAGTAAGCTGTTTTCAGTTGCCTGTATAGAAGCTGCTTTATTCCTTCCAACTATAATTTGAACACGAAAAGAAAATGGTGGGAGAGGGAACGTAAAATAACTAGAACGATGTGAAATGTTACTGCCAGCACTGCAAAGGGTAGTTTTTACCTAAAGGAAACCCACGGAGTTCCGATCACTTAAAAATTCCCATTTTGACACAAATATGTCTTCAGTCTTAACTTCAGTGACTGTACGTTGCCTATTCTAAAGGAGAGGTGGGGGGGATCATAATAAGACTGTTGGTCAAAAGTTTCAAAACAGAAAAAAAAACCCCATACGTTTAGACTTTAATTTGTAATATAAAGGTTTGGGGAGTTAAGATCCTGCACAAGAATGTTTGTCTCCATGGCTCCCTCTCCTTCCTCCCCCCTCTTGCCAATGGAATCCTGTTCTACTTTAAGAACGTTGAGGTAAAAGTTCTTA